ATGGTACCTCTTCTTGAACCTGTTCAGGTTCAAATGTACCTCCTTGAACCTGTTCAGGTTCAACGGCCGGTTGTTCAGGTTTCATGGGGTTGGGTTCAACGGCTGGTTGTTCAGGTGCATACACGGGCACCTGTTGAACCTATTCAGGTTCAACGGCTGGTTGGTTACACGGTGGAAACAAACATACTGATACCTCTTGAACCTGTTCAAGGTTCAACCGCTGGCAGTGCTGGTGCATATTCTTGAACCTGTTCAGGTTCAACGGCTGGTTGTTCAGGTGCATACACGGGTACCTCTTCTTGAACCTGTTCAGGTTCAACGTTGTTCACATTACCGAACCTTCAGGTTCAACGGCCGGTTGTTCAGGTGCATACACGGTCTTCTTGAACCTGTTCAGGTTCAACGGCCGGTTGTTCAGGTGCATACACGGGTACCTCTTGAACCTGTTCAGGTTCAACGGCTGGTTGTTCAGGTGCAGGCACCTCTTGAACCTGTTCAGGTTCAACGGCTGGTTGTTCAGGTGCATACACGGGTACCTCTTCTTGAACCTGTTCAGGTTCAACGGCCGGTTGTTCAGGTGCATACACGGGTACCTCTTCTTGAACCTGTTCAGGTTCAACGGCTGGTTGTTCAGGTGCATACACTGGCACCTCTTGAACCTGTTCAGTTCAACGGCTGGTTGTTCAGGCATACACGGGCACCTGTTGAACCTGTTCAGGTTCAACGGCTGGTTGTTCAGGTGCATACACTGGCACCTGTTGAACCTGTCCAGGTTCAACGGCTGGTTGTTCAGGTTGACCCTGATACTGTTCAGGTTCAGCCTTCTCAAGAGGAATTTTCTCCAGGAGAGGTGGTACGTCCCGCTCAAGCAGTTCAAGGCCTCCCTTTGCCAGTTCCTTCCAACCCTGTTCAGGTTGTTCAGGTGCATACACGGGTACCTCTTCTTGAACCTGTTCAGGTTCAACGGCCGGTTGTTCAGGTGCATACACGGGTACCTCTCTTGAACCTGTTCAGGTTCAACGGCCGGTTGTTCAGGTGCATACACGGGTACCTCTTCTTGAACCTGTTCAGGTTCAACGGTTGCATACACGGGTACAACCTGTTCAGGTTCAACGGCCGGTTGTTCAGGTGCATACACGGTACCTCTTCTTGAACCTGTTCAGGTTCAACGGCCGGTTGTTCATTGAACCTGGCAGGTGCATACACGGGTACCTCTTCTTGAACCTGTTCAGGTTCAACGGCCGGTTGTTCAGGTGCATACACGGGTACCTCTTCTTGAACCTGTTCAGGTTCAACGGCCGGTTGTTCAGGTGCATACACGGGTACCTCTTCTTGAACCTGTTCAGGTTCAACGGCAGGTGCATACACGGGTACTCTTCTTGAACCTGTTCAGGTCAACGGCCGGTTCAGGTGCATACACGGGTACCTCTTCTTGAACCTGTTCAGTTCAACGGCCGGTTGTTCAGGTGCATACACGGGTACCTCTTCTTGAACCTGTTCAGGTTCAACGGCCGGTTGTTCAGGTGCATACACGGGTACCTCTTGAACCTGTTCAGGTGCATACACGGGTACCTCTTGAACCTGTTCAGGTTCAACGGCCGTCAGGTGCACACGGGGGCCTCTTGAACCTGTTCAGGTTCATGGTTCAGGTGCATACACGGGTGCCTCTTGAACCTGTTCAGGTTCAACGGCCGGTTGTTCAGGTGCATACACGGGGGCCTCTTGAACCTGTTCAGGTCCAACGACTGGTTGTTCAGGTGCATACACGGGTACCTCTTGAACCTGTTCAGGTTCAATGACTGGTTGTTCAGGTGCATACACGGGTACCTCTTGAACCTGTTCAGGTTCAATGACTGGTTCAGGTGCATTTCAGGTTCAACCGCTGGCAGTGCTGGTACTTCCTGTATCAGAACTTCTGCCGCCTGCCGTCTTCGCTGTCTTGATTTATCTTCTGCCGCCTGCCGTCTCCGCTGTCTTGATCTCCGCTCCGCTGTCTTGATTCTGCCGCCTGCCGTCTCCGCTGTCTTGATTTATCTTCTGCCGCCTGATTTATCGTGGGAATCTTCATCCTGGAAACCTGATTGGTCCTGGAAATCATCCTGGAAATCTTCATCCTGGAAATCAGGTCCGTATCCTGGTTGGTCCTGGAACTGTTCAGGTCTGAATCCTGGTTTACCCTGATACTGTTCAGGTCCCAAACCTGGTTTACCCTGATACTGTTCAGGTCCCAAACCTGGTTTACCCTGATACTGTTCAGGTCCCAAACCTGGTTTACCCTGATACTGTTCAGGTCCCAAACCTGGTTGACCCTGATACTGTTCAGGTCCAGAACCTGGTTGACCCTGATACTGTTCAGGTCCCAAACCTGGTTGACCCTGATACTGTTCAGGTCCAGAACCTGGTTGACCCTGATACTGTTCAGGTCCAAACCCTGGTTGAATACTGTTCAGGTCCAGAACCTGGTTGACCCTGATACTGTTCAGGTTCAGCCTTCTCAAGAGGAATTTTCTCCAGGAGAGGTGGTACGTCCCGCTCAAGCAGTTCAAGGCCTCCCTTTGCCAGTTCCTTCCAACCCAGTAGGGGCTTGGAAGATTCCGGTTCTTCAGCACGGGAAGCCATTTTCATCGCTGGCTGAGGTGCCAACAATTTGGCAAGAACTGAAATGATCCCGATGATCACAATCAGGACAACTACACTGCTGTATAGCTCAGCAACGGGAAGCATTTTCATGCATGCTGACTGTGGACAATTTGTGTCAAGACGACTGAATGTGTGGCTCCTGATGATGAGCATCACAATTACCAGAGGACACAGACTAACAGTGAGAGTCAAGCCACTGCTGTATAGCCATGAATCACAAATCTATCACATGAGCACAAACTGCTACAAAATCCTATGATGTGACAAATCCGGTTGTTAGTGCGACAGTGTCGGGCAAGTGGCGTTCATCATGTTCAAATCATTGGAGCGGCAATCATGAACACCTGTTGCGAGGTCAACGTGCTACTGAGTACAGTGTATCAGATCCGAGCTGCCGATGCTCGATACAGCTGTCATAGTGTATCGTGGGTAATCTCCACCGTTGCGGGAGAGTACAGCTGTAATCCTACATGCCAGTAGGTTAGGGTCTCCTGGATAGATAGCACGAGTAGAGTAAATGCAGGAGAGGAAGCTGCAGAAAGTGAAGTAGATCGAGCGGAAGGTATGATCGTATGAGACAGCAGAAAAAAGAGCATGGTGAGCACCAAATGGTGCGTGCAGGGATCAGGCGCTAAGACACGAGCTCGTCATATCTTAACTGAGCTTTTCCCGTGCTGAGAAACAAGGATCCCTTCCCAAGCGGCGAATCCCAGCTTCCTACTGGGGTGCGTAAGTGAGAACCGGGGCACATGGGAGGGACCATGTAGTAATTTCGTGCTTGTATGCTTGGCTCGTTCAACCAAGCGCGGAAGTCCTAACTTCTCGGATAGACAAAGTCTGCGTGCTCTGAGAGATATGCCGAGCTTAAGAGAGATCAAAAATATGCAAGTGATAATGATGGCTCAACCGATGATTGCCGATCGATAATCAATCAATCTAGGAGGACCTACATGGAAGCAGTAAAGTCACAAGGCGCAGGTCATATGACCATGTTTATTAGGGCGTCATGACAAAACAACTTTAACATGCTCAAAACAGGAAGTCACAACAGGCGTCCTGAGCGAAACACTGATACCAGTGAATATTCTAGGCGTCACAACCTAGCGCTTTGGGCACTCTGAAGCATGTATCAGGGTAGAGCGTTCGCACCCAGAGTGTCTAAGTGGGCCGGTACCTATACAGTCTATTCAGGTCGAACCGAGGTTTTGGGACCGTGGAAACAGTATCAGGGTAAAACCAGGTTTGGGACCTGAAACAGTATCAGGGAGTAACCAGGTTTGGGACCTGAAAAACAGATAACCACAGCGGTAAAACCTGTTCCAGGGTTATGGGACCTGAACGTAGTATGAAACGCTATGGCGTGGTACTAACCAGTCATTGTATCCAGGACGCATGCTTATCTGCATGCCCAGTGTCTCGCTCTTATCGACTATCCCTTAGGAGTTCCAATCGAGTTACGGAGAATCCTTCAAATGACCGGAAACCTGATTGGTCCTCAGAAGAAATGCTATCAATTTCCTCGAGAAGAGCCATGACTGATTTGCGTTCAAGGCGCACCTGAGAAATCTTCTTATCTCGGACAGTCAGCGCTCAATATTCCTAGGTTGGTCCTGGGGATATCTGTTTCTAGGTCCCTGCTATCCGTGGATATTGAACTCTGCATACTCGAGAGATATCAGGTTCAGAACGTTCTCAAAACGAGGAATTATTGCGCTCCAAGAGAAGGATGCGTAGCCGTAGCGCTCCAGACAGATGATATCAAGGAAGCCTAACACCATTTGACCAGAGTCACCTGTCGCGCGAGACAGGCAGCACCTTTGGCCTATGGAAGAATACGATTTCGATCCATGCGCGCAGAGAGAGCATGCAGACCGCACTCGGCAGTAGCCGACGCTTGGCAAGAACTGAAATAAGTCACGATGATACACAATTATACTACAGAGGACACTACAAGCAGCCAAGCACAACGCCGGAGATAGCCCTGCCACAGAAAATGATAACGAAGGTAGACACAAATGCAAAATCATAGATAGTGCGGAAGCATTGGCACAGAAGGGAAAAGGTCACGAACCGGGCGACGCCCGGCACAGTCAGATTTCCTGGGATTAGCGGTACTGCATTGAGTTAAATTGCCTGAGGATTCGCTACTGCGTTACGTGGTCGTTACCGATAGGTGGACGGATCATTGAAGGATTAGTACACCTTTAACTATCCAATAGAATACGTGTGAGCTGAGCGATAGTTAAAACGCTATACAGCCCTGACCCATTATCGTTGGTATTTGCTATTTTTTTTACGATCTCATTCCTGTCTGCATAATAATCGTGGGTTCAATGAGTGCATAAAGTACAGTACCGTTAATGCCACCAGCAAAAAAAAATTGCAGGAAACAGAATAACGGACATATCCAACATTTTGAGGTAGCACATCCAAGGTATTCTAGAGGGATTAGAGGTTACCAAATGAAGGGCGCGAAGGAGATCCAGAGTCCGCCTGAGCCCGGAATAAGAGACCTCAGGCAAGCCCTCGCCGCGAGCCCGAGAAGAGAGACCCCAAGGAAAGAATCTCCCAAGAGCCGCAGACAGGAGAGCCCAGAGTCGCCCGGAGGCCCCTGGGGAAGAGACCCAGGAATCGCCGAGCCCGTAGAAGGAAGACCCAGGGAATATGTCTCCACAAAGAGCACCGAAGGAGACGACGCGAAGGTCGCCCGAGCGCCGAGAGATAGGAGAACCCGGAATCCGCCTCGAGAGGAGCCCCGAGACGAAGACGCCAGGCAAGTCGCGCGAGAAGAGCTCCAGAGCAATGAGAGACCAGAGAGTTTCATCGGCCCCAGAGAGCCACGAGCACGCGAGAGGCCCAGAGTCGAGCCCAAGAGCGAACGCGGAGAACCCAAGGAGTCCACCAAGCAGCCCGAGAACCAGATAGACCCGAAAGGACGCCCCATGGCGAGACCGAGCGAGGATGAGAACACGCAGAGAGTGCACCCGCAGGGCCTGAGAAGGGTTAATGGTTAAATGCAAATTAAAATGAGCGTGCCACTATAAGTAAGGATGTCAGCGATGATAGTTGACTATGTCGTCTATGAGATGAAAGCGCTGGGTTCGGGTTTGATGAGTGGAAGAGTATATGAGGTTTTTAGCGTAACTGGATAACCCATCAAGTTTGGTTAATGAAATGATTTAGAGCGAGTACAATAAAGGCGGTGTCGAATGGACAGTTGTTTTATATGGCACTAGCCTAGAAACAGGACTGAACATAAAGGGATGTGGGAAGATCGAAAAAGGATTTGGGGTCATTGAGAATCAGGTGCGTGAAAGGTATCTCGCGGAAAAGGCTTATAGTCAAGGAAATTTTGCCTGACGTCGGGTACTACGATCAGCCGACTCGCCAGGAGAATGTACACTTGTGATGCAGTAGTTCAAAGAGGGATAATAAATCTACTACACCACAGAACTACGACACACTAACTCAAGCACACACTCCACACCTATCACTCACAACACCGGCCGTTGAACCTTAACACACAGGGCGAGCATAACAACCACACAGCTATCATCACACACACACAGAAAGGTACCGTTGTCAGCACCACACACAGAGCAGCACGGAGCAGCGACAACACAACAACCGGCACGGAGCACTCGAACACACACACATACACAACACATATGATATTATTATAAATAAATGATATATATAATGAGTATTATGATATATAACTATACCGTGATATAATACTATACCCTATAACCGGTAACCCGTTGTGAATAACCTTGTAACTAGGTAGTGATTCAAGAAGAGGTTAATATCCCGAGTTGATTACATATAATGATACCTAATATATATATATGTAACAATATACATACTATATACTAGAGGTACTACTAGTATTGTATAATATATCATCAATGAAACTAAAGGTATTATTACATATAGTAAAGATATATAGTATTGTGTGAATATGTGTGCTGTGTGTGTGTGTGTGTGTGTGTTGTTGGTGTGTGTCGCTGTGTGTGTTGTGGTGAGTGTGTGATGCGTTGTGTGTGCGTGTGTGTGTGTGGTGTGTATTAAACGCACATACCATACCAGCAAAAAAGGGAAAAGTGCAAGAATCGGCTATAAGCACATTTGAGGACAGCAACTAAAGGTGACATAGGGAATCTCAATGTTAGCAATGAGGCGACCGGGATGCCGCAGGAAGAATCGCCCATGAGAGAGAGCCGGAGGACGGTCAGACACACAGGAAAAGTCGCGCCGGAGGAGGCCACGAACTGGAGACCCAGGAAGTCGCCCCCAAAGAGCCCGATGACGGTAGTACCCAGGGAAGACTCGTGCAACAAGAGCCTCGAGAACACGGCACGGGCACCCGAGTGATATGTCACCGGACCCAAAGACGTAGTGCAAGGAGACCCAGAGGGAAGTCAGCCGCAAGAACGCCCGAGACGGTATGCAACCCTAGGTAAAGTATCCGCCAGAGCGCCGCGGAGACCGAGAACCCAGGAAGTCCGCCCCAATGAAGCACCTGTAGACGGAGACCAGGCTTGAGGAGAGAAGGCTACCGCCGTGAGAGAGAACACCCGCAGGGCAAGGTTTCGCTGGCACCCACTGAAAGCAGGCCGATGACGCAGAGGACAACCCAGGAATGATCACCAAGAGCCCGAGAAGGAGACCCAGGAAGTATATTATATATATAGATTAGTGATTATATATATTAATGACAAATAACTAGAGGTAATTATATATGTTTATATAGGTAATAGGATATAAGTGGTAATATATATACGATTATGTTGATAGTGTGTGTGTAGTGTGTCGTGTGTGTGTGATGTGTGATGTCTTGTGTGATGTTGTAGTTATATTGTTAATATAACGTCCGTTATATACGGTTAGTATATATATACTTTATTTAATATACCTATTGATAGGCAATTTACTTTATGAGTATATTTATAGTAATATACTTGTGGTTATGAGGTTAGCTATGTGAGTGAATATAGGGGACTGTATCTTATACCTATCATTTATTTATATATATTCCATCCTCTACAGATACGATAATACTATCATTGACACACAAAGACACGAGTACAGCAACACGCATACTAATATATATATATACGGGTGAGTCTTATACTGTGATATAATAATACACATGATCATCACTATTGAATGTATGTGCTCGCTCTTTGTGTGAATCGTGATAGGTGTGTGCTGGAGAGCATGGTGTGGTACTGTTGTGTGTGATGGTGGTGTGTTGTGTAAAGTGTGTGTGTCGAATGCTCGTGTTGAGTGTGTGACTGAGTGTGATGTGTGATCTACCCGTGCTACGCGTGGAGGGATGGAAGGGATGAGCGCAGGGTATATAGTTATTCTGCAGAATGGGTTGTGACGAAGTCATGTTGACTTTTCTTATGAGGGAGGTGGCGCACACGAGGAGACGAGGCTATACAGCGAATAGACACGGTTATAGAAGAGTGATAGGAGGCTGGTTGTGCTGAGGAGGGGGATGGGCTTAAAAGGTTGGGTCTGTCGATACGAGACTGGAAAGTAATGAGCACCAGCCGCGTCTGTGTACCCTGCAAACATGCCTGTTCTTGCGATCACCAACGTAAAGGTGACTGTGTCTAATCGCGGTTGGTCTATCTCAGATTCACACAACAGCCTCGTCAACACCTTGTAACCAGTTACATGAAATCGCGTTGAAGAGCCCGCACGCGAGTGTCTGTGACGAGGATTATTGAGTCGTATCTCATGACCAGGTTGGTGCACAATTGGGGCATGCGACGCCTGTTGGAGAGAGCACACAGACAGTCTATGGGCGGCATGGTTCTCTAGACCAGTGCAAAAACAGTATTTTGACATCTAAGAGATCGGCGCGAGGGCGGTATTGGTAATGGCCAGATACAGGGCAGCGCGTGACTAGTAAAGGGAGGCGAGTCAGTGTACGAAAGTAACTTTTGGAGCAAACTGCTTTGGATGTACATCTCGAGTGTTCTCGAAACGCGATACTAGGAGGAATTGATGTAAGCAATGTACTGATTTTCCATCTTCGTCTGAGGCATCCATATTCACCATTCTACCATCATATCGGTGATATTGGAGTTTGGTGGCAGTTATGAGCTGGGCGAAGCAGAGACAGTATCCGGACAGGATTATCAAAGGTGAAGATGAGTTTTACCCGTGTATGCACCTTTAGACACACAACGGGTCGCGGTTGCACAAAGCCATGACTATGTAAGTACTTATAGAGAGTGTAGCTGCTCGTATAGTATTTGTCTTCTCGAGCACCGAATCATACACCACGAGCCGACGATGTCGATCAGCCGATCAATGGTGATTTATAAAAGAGAACATGGCCACTGTCACGTGTTATCGGTGAGTCATGCTGAGTCTCTTGAAGGAGTGTTAGAGCCTAAGACACGAGAACGTGTATACAGGATACACGAATTAACACGGTTCCCAATGATATATAGCTCGACGCTACAACTACGAGAGTCCACCAGAGATGACATCCTCGTGTAACGAGGTTCATAGTGGGAGGGGTGACGATGGCGGATGCACATGCTACAAGAGGACGTATCGTACGTGTGGAATGCCTGAGAGATGAATGTCTGAGGAAAGAAGTTGGTATGTACCTCGTGCTAGTGCGCGGTCTAGAGATGCACAACCTAAGTAGAACGATTTTGGAAGCCATGAATGGAAGGATATTCGAACATTGTCGCACGCTGCGTAGAGTCATGCATGCTCTGAAAGACCAGATGCCGTGGGGAACATATATGATAAACCTGGGGAGCAGTGCCTCAGTTGTTTCCATAACCTAGTAGCCCACGGGTAATTAGCTAATTCGCATCTCTGAACTTATACACCAGCCATGAGAGAAATAGACCATGTAACAAGCACAGGTGGCACGAGTAGTAGAGAGCACTGAGACGAAAGAGATGTGCAGAGGAGAGAGAGTAAGAGCGCGAGAGAGACGAGACCGAGCGAGCAGATAGAGAAGAGATGAGAGACCTGAGAGCAGAGTTCAAGAGGAGAGAGAGAGAGAGAGAGAGAGAGACGAGCGCACGAATATGAGCAGTAGAGAGAGGAAAGGAGAGAGAGAGAGAAGAGAGAGAAGAGAGAGAGTAGGAGGCGGACGCGAGAGCGAGAGAGAGAAGATGAAGAGAGAGAAGGAGAGAGAGAGAGTTAGAGAGAGAGGAGTAGTAGACGGAGAGAGGGAGAAAGAGGTGTGTTGTGTGTGTGTGTGTGTGATGTTCGTGTGCTTGGTGTGTGTGCTGTTTTGTGTGTGTATGTGTGTCGCACTCGGTCGCTGTGAGCAGAAGGATGAGAGCCACTGGCTACTTCAGACGTCAGCACTGTATAATGACCAAGCCTGGGGACAGCCACGCATCGTTGAGCGTATTACGATGGGGAGAATCAGGTTTATGAGACCTTGGTGCCACACCGTCCTACCACGCATAAGCATAGTGGAGTGTAAGAATGCATAGAGTGGCACACTTAGGGATTCGATCGAGGAAGTAACACAGATCGGCCATTGAATGACTGTATATGATGGTAACTGCATGTCTACTCCTCCATCCTAGATCAGATAATTAACTGGGGTCTCAATGAAATAATTATTAGGTAATTGAAGGGGGAGGGAGTGATATCCGCGAAAAATAAAAAAAATCACATATAAATTTTGGAACTAAGAATGAGAATTCCAGCGATAGCAGAAATTGCGAATCCTTTATGCGGAACAATTTAAAAATAATACTCCATATGATAAGTATCCATGATATTTTTAGATTATCAATGGTTAGAGTATAATTTCCCTACCGTATAAATTCATTAATTGAGCCAGCTTCGCGATGATTGATCGAGACTCCTGTATTTTCTTTGCCTCTCCTTTAATTTCTATACCATGCTTTCCGGACTCACTTCACGTATGCTATATTGTAGCTACATTAGTTAGCGGTCCAGCACTCGCTTGCTCGATCCCACAGGAATATCTAGGATGAATTGAATGTGAAAA